GATACAGGCAGCATGCTCCCCGCCTCTTCGGCATTTTAGAATACAGGCAGACTCGTCTATTATTTTAACTACGCTTGCGAAACAAAAGCTACTTAAGGTGCTAATTTATTTGCCGTGCTAATAATTGCAGCTGGGGCAAGAAACAGCGACACAGCAGGGCCGAGCTGAGCGAGACCGGGACCCAGCCGGGGAAGACGGTGGGATGGGAGGCAGGGAAAACAACACCTAACGCGTACGCCCGCGCTTCCTGGCGCAAACCGGGGACCGGCACGATGCTGAGCCGGAGGCCTGAATTTTGGTGCTTCCTAACTTCGACCTGCCACGGGCAGAGGAGCCCCAACCTCTCTGCTGGGACGCAGACTAAAGGAGCCTGTCTGTGCCCTGCAGCTCCGGCAACGCAACTTCAACAAAGACTTTTTGCGCATAAAATATCTACGAGACCTTATTAATTGCGATGATTACGTTTCCAACTGAGGCAGCCAAAGGAAAACTCTCAAGAGGGAGAGAGGATATAAATATTTTCTCCACAGCCAGATTCTGCACGACTGTAGGTTTATCTGTTTCATATTATCAGTACAAGAGCAGGTCTGGGCTCTCCCATGATTTACATCTCACTATATAAATATTTCCATGTCTGAAGTCACAGCAGGGAAGTTATCTTTCATTTGTCCAAGAAAAAAATTTTGACGAGGAAAAAAGAATGGGAGAGACAATAAAGTAAAAGGTCACTTTTAAATGTGTTTTTAAATGTGTTAGCAAAATAGCCTGATTTTTTTTTCCCCTCCGCTTGCTGGGCCAGTAACACTTTAACATGACTCAGCAAAGGCATAAGCACTCTTTGGAGACTTGGTATTTTTATGCAAGAGAGGTCTGCCTGCCCAGAAATTTGGGTGAAAATTACTCCGTAACAGAAGAGGAAAAAAATACCCTCCTCTCCCAACCTGCTTTATTATTTTTCAGAGAGGCCGGCATCCCAGCAGAGACCAATTTCCCATCACAGCAATTTACAACTATACTGAGAATTTCATGCCCATTTTCCATTCAATTTTCGCAAAAGGCTCCAAAATTAGCCTCTTTACGCCTGCAAATTTGCCATCTGCAATTGCTTGTGGGTACAATGAAATGCCACCCCACTCCAGAACATTTTTAACGTACTGGGAAGAATAGCTGCATCCAAAAAAACGGTCTCCAAGGTTAACTCTCAGCAAGCCTCAACGTCGGAACCAGGGTTGTGGGATTGCACTGGGAGGGAGAAGCAATTGCTCCAGAGCTGGCCCAAGGTGAGCGATTCCCACCCCGTGCCACCACTGTACGACTGGACGGGAAGTCCCGGGCTGAAAAGGTTTTCGGGGCTGTTGTCTCAACCACCTCCAGCGACCCATCTTCTCGCTCCAGGACTCTCGCTTCCCGTTTCCATCGCCGCAGTCACTAGAGCAGGTCCCTGACATTGCTTCCCCCCTTCCGCAGTTGTTTCAAGAGATATAATCAATTATTTGGGGGTTGGAGCGTAGGGGATGGACGAGATGCTGTTTGAAACGCAGAGCCCAGGTACCACGGCAAAACAAAAAACCAAAACCTCTCTAGACCTCACCCTGAAAAAGCGAGTGAGCCCAACATACCCTGGTGACTCAGAAAAGTAGCTCAAGATTTGGGTTTTGTGGTTTGTTTTGGGTTTTGCAGGGGGTTGTCAAAAGCCTGTTTGAACATTCTGAGCTCGCAAAGGTGAGACAGCACCACCATGGCTTCGTTTTCACCCGTCCCCAGGGGTTCAGGCTTCGGCAGCGAGACTAAACGAGCACACGCAGAAGATCCAGCAGCCAAAAATAATCCCTTCTCCCAAGACGCACGGGCGTGTTACTCTGTTTACTCCTGGTTGAGCTCTGGCACTGCTCTGAAATTACGCGTCGCCTGGCCACGGACCCCCAGCAAAGCACGAGTGCCCAAACTCACCTTCCTGACAACTTGCTGCCGCTCGGCCCTGCAGCAAAACCTCCCCTGTAACGCCTGCCCGGTGATTACACGCTCCTCAAGCGCAGCACTCCAAAAACCATAAAGTTGGTATTTTGCAATTTGTTTGCAAACCACAACAGACAAGGCTGATATTTCTGCGTGGAGAGAAACGAACCTGCGCGCTTTCAATCTCTTTCATGCCATCTACATCAGTAGGAACTCCAGCCGCCGCACGCTTGTTTTTGCAAAATGTTGATCTGCTGGATCCGTCCCGCAGGAGATGAACTACGATAACATCCGTGCCTCAGGAAGATACAGGAACTAACACATTCCTACGTCGCTGACGTAATGGGATTGTTATGTTCAAAGTACACGTTGCTGTGCCATAAATCTGCACTGTGCGTGAGTCTCAGAGCTTTTGTTTTGCACGCTAGCATCTTTTGAAGCTTGGGAAAGCATCTCTGAGGGCATTTTTGCAATTCAGCAACACTGTCGGAACTCTCCTACCTGCCGGGAGCTCTGGAGCTTACCAAACCCCTCTGATTTTTCTGCTATGTTAATAATCTTGCCGGCAAACTCTTCCTAACCCTGAGCAACCGCCTGCCACACATCGACTCGAATTCTTGTCACCAGCTATGCCAAAAGTAAAAAAAAAAAAGGCAGAGAGGAACACGAGCACATGGTGGATGGCCGGGCTGGCAGCTTGCTTGGCCGGGAATGGGCTGTTCTGCAGGAAACACCAACTTCCCACCTGATCATCCACCAGCTGGGACACGGCTTGGGAAGCCAGAGCTGAAGCACGATCAAACGGAGCGAAGGCATCACCAAAAACAAGCATCGATGGCCCGAGAGCAAACCCGGGCGAGATTTCATCTAGAAAGAACATACATTGCGAGACCGTTGGGAGGCAGAGCTAAGCGGTGGAGGGGGTCTGCGGGGCTGTCCTACTGATGTTAGTCTCACAGTTTTAACCTCGTCATCAAACCAAAGATATTTAAAAGAGAAAATCCAATCATCACAACACACTCATGCCTGAACATTGGGCCCCACGGAGGGGACAACGTAAGGACACCGGTAAGCATTTCTTGCAATAGTCTAGATCAAAGAAGTGAGGTTTGGGGGAGGAACTTCTTACCTATAATCCAGCCCCAAACAAGGCTCCAAGCAAAGCAATAAATGACCTGGCAGCATCTCCAAAGAAAAGCCGTGCAGCCTCTGCCAGCCAGATGGTTAAGTAGGACACTGCCACGCTCCCTCCCTTCCCTGAAAATCTGCTGTTTGGCCACGTCTGCATGATCTCAGTGCTCAGCCCACCCTGGCTTACCTCATCCAGGAAATGAGAGAAAAATAAAGACATAGCTCCAAAGTTTCTGCCAAGGCTGCAGCAGACCAAGAAGCCAAATCCTGGCTCTGCATTTGACCCTCCCTCTCACGGAACCTTTCCGTGAGGTTGAAAAATTGGGAGACACCCAGCTCTCAGGTGTCTTTAAGATCAGGCTTGACTGAGCCACCTGCCAAGCGTCTCCAGGCCTGGCTTCCAAAAGGAACACGGTTTTTTGGCCACTGCCCTGGTGGGACACGATGCTCCTCTGCTTTGTGAAAGCAGGTTGCAGGCAGAGGCAGGAGGCTTCTCCCTGGCGCTCCTCCTGAATAAAGAGATGGGGCCTCTGAGACAAGAGAGCCCACCATAGCACAGACCTGCTGGAAATCAGGAACCACCGGCGTCCTCTGCTGTGACAGCTACTGCTTCTCAGGTCTCGGTGTCTGAAAAAGTAAACTCAGCTCTTCCTGAGGTATTTGGCCCTGAAAGGGAGCAGTTGTGCTTGCCCACATAAATCAAAGGTTGCGTGTGACTACCCCAGGAGAGGTATTACAGGGAGCATCTTCTCTCACCTGAGAGCTAAATGCACCGTATCTGGGGGGCCTCTCCCAACAATCGCTGAGATTTGTTAGGAGCAGAACCACTGCACGATTAATCGAAAATGCACTACAGAAACAACATTTAGGGTTGTCCCAAGGAATCACATTTTGCCGTCCTCCACTAGAAATTCAAGTACGTATAAACTCTGGACTTTAGGACACAAGGCAGCATCTCCTCCTGCCCCCCACCTACTCATTTCTTTAGCCAGTATCTCCATGGCTGCATAACGAATGGGACCAGGGCAAGAACCAAGTGCGAGCGCCACGTGCCACAGCCAAGGGGTGGGAAAAAGGAAGGAGAGACGGGAGCTGAGCAGGACAGGACATTCAAGAGATCCCCTAAGCACATGCAACATCCTCTGGCCAACCCTCGCTCAGCCATCCACAGAAGGCAGAGCTCTCCGATCCTGCAGGAGGAAAGATTTGTCCTTAGAAAGCAGTGCTGGTCATCGTGAAGGCCGATAAGGTCTAAAACAATGTCCTTATCGTGCCCTTAATTCCCTTCAGCCGCTGCGGGAGAACCTCTGCGTGCCGTAGCTGGCACAGACAGGGCGCTGGAAGTGGTCCAAGAGCCACAGCTCGTGGCAGGCTGCAGCAACATCCCGCTCCGGAGAGGGACTCCCTCCTGAAAACACAGCACAGATCAGCCCAAGAACCACGCCAGCGGAGAAACGCTATTAACGGCACGTTAGTCACAGCCCCGGCTCGCTTAGCAGAAGGGCCAGCCTCGTACGAACAGGGTTAGCATCCAGCTGGCAGCGCTCACGGCCCCGAGGAAACCCTGACCCAACAGCGAGGGTAGGGTCAGGACTCCCCCAGCTGCATTTTTATTTATAGGGCTATCGCACATCATTAGGAATATGATTCATTTTATTTTTCCGGTCAAGCATTTAATACACGACCTATTTTGGTACTGTAGCCTGGACATCTCTCCAGGAGGGGGGGAAAAAAAAAAAAAAAAAAAGTTAGGCTTTTGAAATGTTTTCAGCTGATCACATTGGCAAATGGTAAATCACACTTTTAAAACAATAAAACGATGAAGCGAGCTTTCAAGTTTGAAGTCAAACACTTGCTTAAGCCTCCGGAGACTGATCTAACTTATTTGTTAAAATCCCCTCCCAAATCCTGCCGTCTTACTAAAAATAAAGTTTTCTGTCCTATCAGTTGAATCTGATGCATGAAAATTAAGTTTCTGGGACTTTTCCTTAAAAATTTATTTTCTTCTACCAGGGCAATTCCCGTGGCTGCTCTTGCAAATGGGCGAGCTGATGTCATTGAGAAGATAAAGTGTCCATCACCAACACGGGGAGGGGGGGGCAACCTTCTGTAAAATACTCATTTGCTGCAAAAAAGCAAAACTATGATACTCAAGAGTAAAGGAGGAAGAGAGGGAAGAGGGGGGTTTTGCAAAGATTTGATTACGATCATATTGAAGAACGATGGAGAAACCTCGGAGCCTCTGAAGTCCTGATTTAGCTCTTGTAACCCTAAACTATAGACGTTTCCCAAACTTGAGTTTGATTCATTGAATGGGCTTAGGCGGTAAATGCCTCAAAATCAGTTCCGCTCTTTCCCAGGGAAAAACCGCACCAAGATGGGAGTTACCCTGGAAATTTTGCCCGTTTCACCCCCCAGGATCCCACCATCACGACGCAGAGCCTGGCTCGCAGGTCCCGATGGGGAAGTGGGACTTCTCAAGCACCCGACGCGTTACCGCACCGCCCACGCTCCTGCTTCCCGTGCCGTTGTCCCTCCTCTTGCCTGCACGTGGGACTCGTCTCCTCTCTCACCACCCGTACGTGAGCAGAAATCATTTGTGTTTTCTTTGTTAGATTTAGCCGAGAAATACAGCGATGTGTCGCCAAACACCCTGCAGAGGTTGCGGGGCTGGAGTTGCCAGCATTCCCTCGCACCGGGCAGGATGCTGAACTGGGCTCCCTTTCTTCATTCAGCATCCTGAATAAACCACAGCAGACCTCACTCGCTCCTTGGCACCCTCCGCCTTTGACGCTTGTTCCTTTTGGCATCGCTACCCTGTCCCCTGCCAGGAACGTAACACAGAAGACCTTAAGGAGACCAGCGGAGACATCCCGGTTACCCAAAACAAGCAGTCTTTCAGCTTGGAGACAGACGGTTGGAGGTGCCAAACACCGCTAACACACAAGGTTTTCAAGGTGATGTTAGCTGAAGTGTTTTTTCTTAACCCACAGGAATTTCTGAGCTCTTAGCAAGACCTTAGCTTTGATCGCAGCTAAAATATTTTTCTATTGGTATAAATTTGCATGTTTTGGTTGCCACAATCAAGTTTTATACAACCTTGGCAAAAAAACCCAAAAAAACCAAACCCACCAACAAAACCTGGCTCAAGTTCCAGTCACCTTGCAAATCAGGCGCTGATTTCTAGACTGTGCGATTTCAAACCAGCGGGTCGGGCATTAAAATCTGCCTCTCTGAAGGCACCCAGATCAGGCATTTCTTTATCTCGGAATTAGGTGATGTAACTAAACACAGGAAAACCAGTGAGTCATCCTACATTTTCAGGATGAATTTGCAAGGCCAGGACAGATGTTAATAAAAGAGTCTTCCCGTCTTCGTTCCAGAAATCACAAGGGACAGCTGCATGGGCAACAAATATTTGACAAACAAAGCATGTTGTCAGCCGCTGACAAAAATAACAATTTAAACACGAAATCCTTCCACGGTTGCCCTACTTTTTGTATTCAGAGCAGTTCTGCTAAATTACCTCCCCTAAATGAACCCGTTTCAGTAGTTTGGCTCAAGCTCATTTTGCAAACAATAGGTTTGACGCTGCAAAAGGAGAACTGCTTTGCTTTGATGCCAGGGGTCTGCTCTGGCTCGTGCCAAGACCGTGGGACCACCGACGACGCAAAAACCAGTTATCTTGAAAAAGAGGGAACATAGATGATGTTCTCACTGCAGTACAGGTCAAGTTTTGGGATTGAACACTCATAGAAAGTGATCAAGCACCTCCACTTAACCTCCAGAAAACCAAAAAGAAGGGAAATACATGACCAGAAGGTAGGTGACTAGTTAAGAAACACAGAGACGGTGCAGCCTGGTGACCTCCGCTGCCAAATCCAGTGCCCGGTGGTGCACAGAGGCATGCCTGACAGCCAGCTGAGTCGCCGTGCACCGTGCAACGGCATCTGCGTGAGAATCGTCGCACCGAAACAGAGCAGCTCCCCTCCCACCGCTCCCGTACCAGGAAAAACTACCCAGTACACACGGCCACGCTTCTGTATCTTCTTTTGGAGAAAAGTAGCAGGTTATGAAACGGTAAACTGAGTATCAGTCCCTCAGATTTCAGGGACAAGAGGAAAGGAGGACAAGGGTACGTATTTTGACTACCCGTTAACTTCAGTATCAAAAAAATTCCAGGGAGGAATTGTATTTACATGTAATCATTTTTTTTCCTTGAACATGAGATTTTGGGATTTAATTAATGGGTTGTGGCTCTCTATGGTAAATAAGCCACTGTACATGTCCCGTCTCTTACCGTGGCAGGGCAGGCACCCTATCTATCCTTTAGAACAAGCAAGACGGACAGACAGGACTCATGCACCAAATACCATCCAAAGAAAAACTTGCAGTATAGCGTCAGGAGATTGTCAGCTGGGCTACATTTTGTTCATTTTAAGGTACAATCAAAAACACAAGCTCTGCTGCTCAGATATGCCACGTGGGGCTGGCTTACCCAGAGGGTCCTCCAGCGGAACGGCAGGAGAGTGATATCCCGTTTCATCAAAACCATTCCATGGAGTTCCAGAAATTAGTTGAACAAACCAGGACTGTCATTTAAAAGCTGAACTGGTGTGGTGGCACCGCTCTACCACAAAACACAGCAAGCCACATTCAGCAGCTCTGTGCCCTTATTACCTCAACTTGCAATAGGTTTTC